TTTTAGTATAATTTTTGTTTTTAATTTAAATTATAATTATTAGACTATTTATTTTGATTTTACATATTAAGTTGTATTTGAGTAGTTTGGTAAGTTTAGTTTAAATTGTTTTTTTTAATTTTTTTATTGAGTAATATAAATGATTGGACTATTTATTTTGATTTTACAGATTAAATCGTATTTGAGTGGTTTGGTAAGTTTAGTCTAATTTTTTTGTTTTGTTTTTTGTTTTTATTGTAAATATAAATTAATTAGACTATTTCTTTTTATTTAACATATTTTTTTGTTTAAATTTTCTTTAATTATGATTAATATTATAATTTGAAATATTTAATTTTTTTTATAGATTTGTTGAAGCATGGCAGAACAAAATGTTCTTTTGAGACTTGATGATCGACACATTTCTAGTCATTTGGAAGCACTGGTATTATGATCAAATAATATATTTTATTTGAGAACGATTAATTAATTCTAATTACATGGATTAATAAATTGCAGGACGACGAACAACGAGCCCTTCGTAGTCAAGTGAACACTTGTGAGAAGCCAAATGAACTTATTGTCCAAAATTTGCAAATAGTAAGCTTTTACGATGTAACATTTGTAAGAGAATATTGGTTGGTTCCTAGTTTGATCAGTGCATTAATTGAATGGTGGAGACCAAAAACTCATACATTTCATCTTCCGTGTGGTGAATGTAAGATCACTTTGGAGGATGTGACTTTACAACTTGAGGTCCCTACAAATGGAATGAAAGTGGTGGGAAAAAAAGATCAAGACGAGTTTGAAATTTGTGGGGCGTACCTTGGTAAGGTGCCAGGAAAAAAACATTTGCAAAAGGGTCACGATTGAGATTATCATGGTTGGCGAATGAGTTTAAGTTCAGTCATTATAGTACTGAGGAATACATTATATATGCAACTCGAGCATATATATTACGGTTGATCAGAGGAGTCTTGATGCTGGATGAATCCTGTAATCTTGTTCATATATAATATATTCTGTTTTTGGGTAACTTTTTGAATATCTGTTAGTATAGTTGTGGATCGGCAATATTGGCGTTCTTGTATCGCGAGATATGTAAGGCGTCATTACTTGTAAATGATGCATGTACGATGGAAATCAGTGGATGTTTGACGTTATTACAATCGTGGGCCTGGCACAGACTTCTATGGTTAACACCGATTAGTCGAACTGCAGTTGACTTTCCTCTTGCCGGAAGGTAATATTTTGATTTAAAATGTTTTATCTTAAAGTAATTAACGAATATTTTGTATAGAAAAAATAATTAGCGAATTTTATTTTGATTGGTATACAGATGGAGGAATAAAATAGAAGGAACGGGGTTGGTGCACAATAATGTGAAAGAGTTTATATTTAAGATGGACATCAAATGCAAAATTGAGGTATATATATAATTAATTTATTTAGTTTCTAATATTGTTTATTTATTTAGTTTAATTTTATAAATTTTAAATTAATTAATAATTATATAATTTTGTTTTATAGTTTATTTGGAGGTTGTATGATGATGGAGAAATTATGTCATGTGTGTCGCAACATGTTTGGGAGGGTTGTCAATATAGGTGTGTTGTTACACCATTGATCCATTTCGCTTTTGTTGAGTTCCAATTTTCCGATAGAGTGTCGAGGTAGTTCGGCTTCGACTAACATATTCCTTGAATTCCAGAGAATTATGACGCTCTCCACAAATTAGATTGGAGGGGTAGGCACGGTGAGGATTGGGGTGTGAGGCATGCCAATCACATCTGAGTCTAGTAGTCGGTGGTCTTGTTCAATAGAGTTTTGAAAACATGTGTGTGGACCATTGTACCTTGTGATGACCCAATCATCTTGCCTCTTCATTTTGGAGACTCTGATCAGCGACTTACACTCGGGCCCATATTTAACACAATTTGCGTACAGAGTTTTCTGGTTGGATTCTGCAACCTTGCAATCTATATGGCATTTTATGCATTACTCTTTAATTGCCAGTGTAGCTTGTTCTTTTCCTCTGTATTGGTTCCCTACTGATAATTCACCAAAGTTTTCGGATGATTCAGTCATGTAGCCTGAAGTTAAATGTAGCATCTCTAGGAATTCAGGTGTCCTCTTATCTCGTGCATGTGAGGGGTATGTTGATACGGTTTCAAATATTCATCAATATTGATATCAGGTTCATCAGCATCGAAAATAATGTCATCCTCAGCCAAAACGGGTTCTTCAGTTTCTTCATCGTCACTTGAATCATCAAGTATTTCTTCCCAGCGATTTTCAGTGTCATACTCTGCGGCTCCAGATGTTCTAACGACTTCATTTTCACTTTCCAACATTGTCACGAAGCTATTTATCAACCTATATATCAGGTTATCAAACTGACTTTCGAAAGTCATTTGAGATGAAGTTCCAACCATATTTCATGATAACCTAAGCACATTAGATATATTACACACCTCAACAAATAACTCAATAATTGGAATATTTGTTGGTCATGTAATTCAATCATACTTGTGATATCATCATATTCTTCAAGTGGTATTGCAGCATACCTGACTTGATTGTGACATATCATAAACCTGTACCTTAAACCATCAATTGTAGCTAGGATTTTCCTTTCTATCATCTCCTTCATTTCTACAAATGTGATGTCCCTTTTAAACATCATATTTATAGGTGCTTCAGACTGAAAATAATTCCGACCTTATTTTCAATAATCTGTCCATTGTAATGGACAATCGTTAAAAATACATTGCTCATTTTCTCTACACATAAAAAATGTAGATATTCATAATAAATTAAAATAAATTATAGTAATGACAATAAATTACATTTATGATTATAATGAAAATAAATTATTTACTAAATTACAATAAATATTATTAAAGTTTGTAAAAAATGTAAATATATTAAAAATATTTTTTATTAAAAATGTAAATATATTAACAATATTTTTCAACATATTTACTAGAAATACTAAATCAAATGTTGATCTAATTATTTTAACATTTTTACCACAAATACTAAATCAATCTTATTCAAATTATACTAATGATTCGTAAGGTAAAAATTACAATTATACTAATGACGAAAAATTAAATTTATGATTAAAATTAAATTAAATACTACAATATTATTTATCCGTGCAGAAAATGTAAATATATTAACAATTTTTTTTATAAAAATAATGCTTAAATACTATGATTACATTATAATAATGATAAAATTTATTACTTTAGATTTTTTATAACTACTTATTATTACTTCGAATTTATTACTCCCTAATTCTCAACCAAAACATCCTATTTTATAACATCCCGGGGTATTCATTATACTTTCCCGTTAAAATACCAACCACCAACCTACCCAGGTTATTAATGGATAATTAATGGTGTCATTATTTTTCGTCATTATAATAAATATTATTTTTATTTATTATAATAAATATTATTTTTCTACTACAATATTATTTAACCTTGCAAAAAAATGTAAATATATTAACAATATTTTTTATAAAAATAATGATTAAATACTATGATTACATTATAATAATGATTAAATTTATTATTTCGGATTTTTTATAACTACTTATTATTACTTCGAATTTATTACTCCCTAATTTTCAACTAAGAAACCCCATTTTATAACATCCCGGGGTATTCATTATATTTTCCCGTTCAACCACCAACCTACCTGAGTAATTAATGGATAATTAATGGTTCCATTATTTTTCGTCATTATAATAAATATTATTTTTCTACTACAATATTATTTAACCTTGCAAAAAATGTAAATATATTAACAATGTTTTTTATATAAAAATAATGATTAAATACTATGATTACATTATAATAATGATTAAATTTATTACTTCGGATTTTTTATAACTACTTATTATTACTTCGAATTTATTACACCCTAATTCTCAACCAAAACACTCCATTTTATAGTATCCGGGTTATTCATTATATTTTCCCTTTCAACCACCAACCTACCCGGGTTATTAATGGATAATTAATGGTGCCATTATTTTTCGTAATTATAATAAATATTTTTTTCTACTACAAATATTAAGTCAAATATGTTCATCTAATTATCTTAACATTTATACTACAAATACTAAATCAACAATGTTAAAATTATAATAATGATATTTACATAACAATAAATCGTAAATTGATATTTACTAAGTTAATATGTAGCTAACAATAAATCGTAAAATACTTTAAATAATTTTTTTTTTTACATTTACTTGAGAGTTTCTTCCGACAAGTTGATGTTATAAAAAACATTTTCAAATTTCTTACTCACTTCTTTTTTACTTGCAACAACATATTAAAATTAATATTTTAATATTAAATAATATGAAATAGAGATATTTTATTCGAATAATACTTACAGATTAAAAATTGGAAGGAAATTTTGTTCAAAATTTCTCTAATATTCTTCTCTGATGCTTACTCTTTCAATTCTTCTCCAGATTTTGCCTTTTCTCTCCTTTCTTCACCACTACTTTACTCCCCAATTCTCAACCAAAACACCCCATTTTATAACATACCGAGTATTTATTATAATTTTTCGTTCAACCACCAACCATCAACCTACTCGGGTTATTAATGAATAATTAATAGTGCCATTATTACTTACCTATTTTCCAGTCGGAGGCAACATATCACCCTAGACTGAAGATGCCAGGTAAACTTGGAGTCTTCCTATTTTTCCTGAAGACGCCAGGTAGTCCCAGAGTCTTCCTGATTGGCCTGAAGACGTTAGGTAATCTTGGAGTCTTTGGCTCGGTACTATATAATTCACCCTAGATTGAAAAATAATCCGGGGAGAGCATTGTTATGAGAATATTTTATCCCCAAGTACATTATTCTGGCCATTTTGCCGATATATATATATAATATAAAATAAAAATATAAAATGACATAGGGCACACTCTCTCTCTATATATATATATAATTACGATTATAATACTTGCAGAGTTGTCGTTGGTTGTCATGGCACCTGGTCCGAGAACATTCAAGGCCATTCTGGGTGCGCATGGGGTGAGAGGAAAGAATGTGTAGGCCAGTTGTGTAACTTGGTGATAGAGTTTGGAGGACAACTTAAAACCTTAATAAATTTAGAGATTTAAATTAAAATTTTCAAAATTTTTGAAGAGTTTAGTTATATTTTCTTCAAAGAGGTTAAGTCTAATTAAAATTTTTAAAAATGCGATACTTAATGAGAATATTTTCAAATTATGAGAGGGTTCAAGAACATTAAAAAAATTTAAAGCTTAATATAATTTTTTAAAAAATTGTGGGCTAAATTTAATTTTTTTAAGGATCTCTATTATAATTTTTCAAATTTTGGGACCCATGGCCCCACTAGTCCTAACTACATTCTGCATTTGGTCTGGGCTTTATCGAAAGATGGTTCGACTGCTTTCATTCAGTCCATCATTTCCACCGAACAAGAATCGAAAGAACAGTTTTCCGTGCTTGATTTGGGTGCCGTCGATGCCCTCTTTGACGGGTGGAACCATAACCTTCCGGTGGACCAACTTTTCTACTCCGTCAAGTGTAATCCCAACCCAGTTCTCCTCGGGGCACTGGCTGCCCTCGGCTCCAGCTTCGACTGCACAAGCAAGGCCGAGATCGAATCCGTCTTGTCTCTTGGTAATGGTGTTTCGCCTGACAGGATCATTTTTGCCAACCCATGCAAAGAAGCGTCTCATATCAAGTACGCCGCCACAGCCGGCGTTAACCTAACAACTTTCAACTCTGAAGATGAACTTGACAAGATTAAGAAGTGGCACCCTAAATGTGCCTTATTCATCCGAGTCAAAGCTCCAGATGATGGCGGTTCAAGATGTCCTTTAGGTGCACTCCCCGAAGAAATCATCGCACCTCTTCCCCAGGCCACTGAGGCTCTACGGCTCACCGTCACAGGAGTCTCCTTCCACATTGATAGTAGAGCCATGCAGTTTCGAGCCTATCGAGAAGCCATTGCAACGGCTAAAATGGCGTTCGAGACTGCCGCTAGACTCGGCATGCCGAAGAAATATATCTTTTATATTATTAGTAAATATGGTTACAATAAACATATTATTATATAAATTTTTTAAATAAATATAAAACAAATAAAAATCATATAATCAACCCAATATTATTAAATTTATGTCTAAATCTCTTTTCGTTCTATCTGTAACAACCCCTATAGTTTAGTGACCTAATAAATTAATGGTCAATGGCTTGACTGAAATCATTGTAATAGTTTAGTGACTTAATTGATAAAAAGTTTAGTTTAGTGGTCAAAATGAAACCATTCCTATAGTTTACTGACTATACAATTAGGTTACCCTATATATTTTCGTGCGTCTCGTTCCCCGAAAAGCAAAAGACCCCAGACCCTGTACGCTGTAGCTATGTACGGCGGCTTTAGGATCAACGGTAGTTCCTTGGTTTCTCTCATACATTTTTGACTAAACCACGATGATTTGGGCAAAGTCATAGTCTTCAGTCCCCATTAATGCTTATTCTCAAGCTCAGGCTCTCTAATAAGTTTGCCTGTATTTAGTTGGATACTTTGTTGTTAACCCCCATTCCCATTGTTGTTCTTCTTCCCTACCCAAAACTTTATCATGCCACAATTAAAAGCGAGATTGCCTTGGTTAGGTCAGCTAATGACCGCTTTTGCTTTAGTTGTATTTGTATTTCCTGGTGCTTGCCTCGCCAGGCATCTAAACCAGGATCGTGGGTCTGTTTTTTGTGGGAGCTTGAATACCAGTTACCCATTCGGATTGAAAAACCAACCTCCTCACTGTGGTGAACATTGGTATGAATTTGAGTGTGACAAAAATAACCGCACCACTTGGGTTGTGAGAGAGGGGAAGTTCTCAATGGAAGAAATCATTTATGAGAATAATACGATGCGAGTGGTTGATGCGGGCCTCGACATGGATGATTGCAATTCCCTTCCTCTCACTTCAGTATACAGTTATTATTCTTCTTTCTGTGAAAGACCGTTTCGATCGTATTATTATGAGTATTATTATAATAACAACCAAATTATGTATGTTTTGAATTGCACGGAACATGTAGAGTCAGTTATCTATATTTCAGCCTCTCGTTGTAGCATCAAATCCACCAATGCCTCTTCCTATTTCTACTTTTTAGACGGAGGAACCTCAAAGTCTGATTTCAGTCAATCCTGCGTTGTGGAAGCGGAGGTTCCAATAGGGGTTGATAATATCTCAGCCATGTCTACGCTGGCTATCTACAATAAGCTATTCGAGGGTGTTTTTCTTGGATGGATGCCGGGGTTCTTCAAGGGAGGTTGCAGCAACAAACTTTCGTTTCAATACGTGTAAGTTTCTTCAGAGGATCTCAGTTTTTTAGTAATACATCATTAACTTCAGATTTTTTTTTGGTTTAAAGCATTTGCCACTGCTTTTTGTTTAGTTTGATTCACTTCTTTCTTTTAAGCTAAAATTAAATGTACAAGTAAATTATATCATTCGTCTGAACTTTATTCTCTCCTATTACATTCATTATACTTTTAATTTTTTTAATTTATTCGCTGAACTTTTATATTATTCCTGTTTTGGTCATTGAATTATTTTATTATTGTTTTGGTATAATGTGGCATTTTTTATTATTATTTAATATAAAAATAATTTAAAACATAAAATTAAACCTAAATGGTGATCGTCCACTGTTCATCGTCGTTGGAAGCCACCATTGACAATTATAAATGGTGATTGTTCGATCCCAAATTTCATTGGCCACTTCGTATCAACCTCTTGAGTCCAAATACGATCTCTATTTTGTCGGAACATGCTCTTAATCAGATCCAAAGTCAGGAAACTGAAACGTCACTACAGCAAAATGGTACTGTAGCGGCATTATTTAACCCTATAGCGGCATTTATAAATGCCGCTAAAAAATTTCCCGACACTTGCAAAAACGCCGCAATAAGTGCCACTAAAACGAACATCACAATTGTTAGCGGCGTTGTGAAAAAAAAGCCGCAATTGGTCTCGACATATAGCTGCGTTTGTATTTACAAACGCCGCTATTGACTGTGTATTTAGCAGCATGTCTTTACAAATGCCGCTATTGGCTGTGTATTTAGCGGCGTTTGTCTTTACAAACGCCGATATTGATTTTGTATTTAGCGGCGTTTGTATTTACAAACGCCACTATTGATTGTATATTTAGCGACGTTAGTATTTACAAACGCTATTGACTATATATTTAGCGGCGCTTTTATTTACAAATGCCACTATTGATTGTGTATTAAGCGGGGTTTGTAAAGACAAACACCGCTATTGACTGTATTTAGCGGCATTTGTATTTAAAAACGTCACAAATAAGCCCACTATTAGTGGCATTTTCATTCCAAAACGTCGCAAATGGCACTAATAGGAGTAGCTGCATGAGTTGCATAAAACACCATTAAAGACATTCTTTACACCCACAGTAATAATCAATTCTACAAATCAAATCATATATTCCAAATATTAAATAAAAAAAAGTCACTTGAAACTAAAAGGGTGGAAAACATTAATATAACAAAATACATACAAATGTGTACTCGTGTTACCATATACTATAAACAGAAAAGAAAACTAGTTGCATGTGTATTTTCACGCTTTCCACTTATAACTCTAATTAATATCCAATAGCAATCTTCCCTAACTTCTTGCTACGTACAACTAAGAATCAATTTGCAGGAGCTGTAAACAGCAGGGCAGCACTAGCAGCAACTCCTCCAGCAATAACATCAGTGGAAGTAATACCTGCCAATATGAAGAATATATACACATATTGTCAGTTCACGTACATCAAGAATCTTATTGTTAATTAACATTTTCTGCCAGTACCAACGCCAACTGAGCAGACAACATTTCAACCAGGTGAACTTGAACCCAAACCATTCTTGAGTCCTTTCATCATCAGATTTAAATTTGAACTTAAAAGTACCTTCTTAAAAAGGACTAGGACATAAGAAAGGTCAGGATTGGCGCTACATAGTTCACAACAATTTTGCGTGCTACTAAGATGTGGTAAACACCAAAACAGTTGTGGATGCAACAAATCAAAGGAATATCTCAAGAAAAAGAATAAATAATATGAGAAGGCCCCAAATTTAGGCACATTTTCAGATTTGTCAGCAGTGAAAAAAAATAATAAATTACAATAAAATCGAGAAAATACCTGATTGAGCTGGAGGTGTAGGTGAGATAGGAGACGGTGGAGCATGTGGAGGATTATTGAGTCGATTATTATAAAAACTGTAAAACAAAAAAAGATGTAGCAAATCAAGAAACTGGCATGACAGTCTTAAATATGAAAAATTGGAACAAGAAGGTGGTGGATCGGGAGTTGCGAGTGAGGGTGGGAACAAATTGAGATAACATAAGAGAAACCTGGTATGAGTGAATAGCGAAAAGGAACCATTAACTGGAACATCTCCTGTTAGATGATTATTTGAAAGATCCCTGCACAACAAATGATATAACATCCAACTCCATTAGAACTGTTCTTGTCCCCAAACTTAGACAACTAATGAGGAGAAGAATTCTATCAGCAACACTCACAGAACTTGCAGTGTGTCGATAGCAGTTAAGGACACTGGAATTGTTCCATCCAACTCACATCAGATAAGGGACGGGCTTCACATTCCCAAGTCCCACCCACTCAAATTCTTGACGTCCTCACCAAGGTCACCAATTCCGTCAAATTCCCCAGCTCCTCTAGGATTATCCAAGATACGTTATTACTATAAAGTTCCCTGTTATTTAAAAGAATAGATATTAGTAATTCTTGAACAAGTTCAATCGAAGCATGTATCCAAGAATCTTTGTATGAAATATGCAACTAAATCCAATCAAATACAAACATCTTTAAGATTAAGATGGCAAAACAAATAAACCGAACAAAAGCAATGAAAACCAGTGCTTACACCCATTTCTACTTTTTCTAAGGCAGATTCATTGTTGTCAAGCCACGGACATGTTGGACCTAATTAGTGTAATTAGCATCTAGGCTATTGAAAGAAAATGATAAAATGATAAGAATTCAAACATAAACACCATTTATGACCTTTTCCAATGCGACGCATAGTGTTTTCATGTGCAAGCAGTGTAGCATTAGGATTGCATTTTTGGATAACAGAAAGACCTAACTTAGTCCACAAAAGCTTGTAATGGGCTAAGGACTAAGTGTCTGGCAAGCCCAAGGGGACCCGACAAGGAGAACTCGGGTACCTTCTTTAGAACTTAAATGATGTAAAGTGATCTACACGCTTTGATGGAAGTGAGTAGATAGCTTTATTGTGTCCCGATCTAGGATTGACAAGTACTGATGTCCTTGAGTAATAAGCTTGGGCTACAACAAAGATAAGAAAGAAATAAGTTCAATGATGGAATAATAAATGGAATAATAAGATAAGTAATGAAATGAAATAAAAGGAATAGAGATGACTGCGAAATTGGTGGTCTTGATGGATGATGTTGATGGTGTTGATGATGAAATGGAGATGGTGGTGATGTTGTATCTCAAGCACGCCAAAGAGGAAACAATGATAGGAAGCACAATCTCAATCTTCACAAACTTGCTTGACGGGTGGTGATAGTGTCTTCAACCCACTAGATATCAATCTAGGAATTTAGGAATCAAAATGGAAGGAATGACGCCACAAGTATATGAATTATACTTGCTTAATCGATAAAGTTCACAAAGAACTTTGAAGAAAAATTAATTCACAAGAGTATGTTTAATATATGAGAAGAGATGATTACAAATTATGGCATGCCTCTCAATTTATAGGAAATGAGAGGGCTTGGCCTAATGATTACACATGGATTCGGCTAAGTATATGTCTCTATGGAAATACATGATTAATGGAATAAAGAGATATGTCCTTTAAGCTTGGTGTTGGTTCGGCTATCCCTTCATGAAGGGCATTGATGTTTTGGTCAAAGGGTGGGGATACATCTCTCTTGGCCGAATGGTACATGCTTGGTCATCTTGGTGCCAATTTCCTTTCCTTGGCCGAATGATGATGTGCCTCCTCATGTTTGGCGCCAAAGGATCTCATGTGCAAGGCATGTGTTGTGGCTGAATAGTCATGAAGCTTTGTTTCATGTCCTTTGATGATTTAGGCCTCCAATAGTTGTGATCTCTTCACCAACGTGCTCCTTGGTGAAAGGGCATCTTCATGGGCAACATCATTCATGAAAGGTCACAATGTTTGGGAAAGATAACATTTCATGTTTGAGCTAGTTTGGAGGTGAATGAGCTGGAGGTGAGCTGGCAATAGGTGAGTTGTAGCATGGTGATCGTTATGGCAGCTCCTTGTGAAAAGGTACCTCTTAAGGTGGCACCTATTCGCGAAAAGGTACGATTTCAAAAATTTTGACTTAGGACATATTTGAAGTGTCCTGAGTGGTGATGATGATGGTGCAGCTCCCCAGCTAAATTGAAGTCATCTTGCAACTCAAATCTTCAGCTCAATCCAGCTATGAGCTCACGAGTCTCCGAACAACTTCTCACCAATGGTTCCTTATGCTCTCCTAAACATCCCTATGTAAGTTTCCTTGTTGTTACATGCTCATTGTAGCTCCAATATAACTCCCAAGCTGTGGCCGAATGAACCTATACACATAACATAAAGAATTAAGTTAAGTATATGAACTTATATAATGTAATAAGGATATGCATATTATAAAGATATGAACTATAGGTTATAATAATAACTCATGCATCATATGATAATGAATGAATATTATTATAACTATAGATTATATGCATGAATATCAATCAATGATGCAAACCATGAATGCACAGGTTATGATAATTCAAGTATAGACTAATATGCAAATGTATGCTCATAATAATATATAATGCATAAATGTGTAAATATAATATAAAGTAAGGTATAACTCCCTTATATTGTGCTTGATGGATCTTCAATGATGTGAGTATGTTATGAAGAAAGTTGGTGCTAGACAGGATCACATCACTAAACCAAGAGACTAAAGGGAATTAGAGCCCACCCTGAAACTCTATTTCAAACCTAGAATGCTTGAATTATCTCCTATTTTACTTTTTGTTCAAAGCATGCTAACTTGACAAATATGCGGTTAAGATTTGCTTAAAATTAGCATGCGGGGTAGAAAGCATGTACAAGTAAGAATTAAAACATGTGGGGTAGATATCATGTGGGGTAGGACTTTTCATTTTCATTATTGTTTTGATTATTATCCTTACCTAACTAACTCTTTCCTTTCATTTTTGTTCTCTTTCATTTTATTTTTATCATTTACATCTTTCAAAAGAGGTGTTGACCTAGAGAGTTCCTTCAAAGACAACAAGAACAAGATGGCAAAGCGATGGTTGAAATTGGAGACCATTGTTAACGAATTCCAGAAAATGAACTTCAGATAGTTTCTATCGATGAAGGACTCCAATGACGTTTCCGTTAGGAAATAGGTTCAGCAAAGGGTGAAAGCTAGAAATGCAGTCATTCGAGCAACTCAACACTTGCACAGTTTAGCCAGAGCAGCTCGACAGGATATTCAACTTGTGACAGACGAAGGCAGAAGACTAGTCAAACTATTAGAAACCATTGAGGGTCTAGAAGACTTAGACAAAATATACCTTTAGGGTTTTTTGTCTCTTAAGAAATAACAATTTTGTCCCAATAAAGATTATTTATAGTAACAAACATGTTTTTGGATCAGTGCCTCGAAACATCATGCATCATGCATTCTTGCATATTTCGCATTATTTTTCTTTTCTTTTTTCATTACATTCACATTAACTAACAAGAGATGTCTCATAAAAAAGGAACAAACACTGGACACACCGAGCATTGGACACACCTCATCCACATAACACTAGTTCAAAAAAGAAGAAGATGGAAGTGAAAATCGCTCAACTCAAAGAGAACATGTCAAGGTTGCAGAGGGGGGTAGAAGAAAAGATAAACCAGAATAATCAAAGTAATCTGGATACGATCATTAAGAGCCAAGGTTCTTGGGTCGATCAGATTGTTGCCAAGTTATATGGCTTACATCAAATGAATGCTCCTAGGGCAGGGGCATCTGAGGGGGTGGTTGTACCACCTACTCCACAGTTGGTAATTTCACTTGGAATCTTACCAGGACTTCAAGGGGATTCATCTTCCATGAAAGCATAGGCTTTTGTAATCAACCCTCAAAATAATATAGATTATTACCACATTTCGAAGTTTGATGAGGAAGTCAAAACAAAGATGGTAAAAACGACCATTAAACAAGGAGAGACAAAAAGAGGTAGGTCAAGTAGGAAACCTCCCATGAAGAAGAAAGAATGAGAGATCATTAACAATTTCAATACTAGAAAAGGCTTACAATCTCCAAATCAAAACCAATTGCAGCTATACCATCAAGCACTTCTAGACAATATTCGAGAGAACCAAGGAGAGAAAATGAAAATGAGCATTTCGATCTCATTCCTATGACATATAAGGAGCTTTATCAACAGCTTTTTGAAGCACATGTGGTGTCACCATATCCAAAGAAACCTCTAAATCCCCCATACCCCAGATAGTATGACAAAAATGTGCACTATGAATATCATGGTGGTGTCCCAAGGCATGTTATTGAAAACTGCCTCGTCTTTAAGAAGATTATCTAAAGAATGTGTAACAAGAGCTAGATTCATTTCAACAATTCAGAATCACCTAATATTGCACAGAACCTTCTATCTAATCATCAAGAGAATGAGGAAAATACAATCACCAAGGAGAAGGGTAAGAAGTTCAAAACCAAAGTTTTTGAAGTGAAGTCACCTCTGGCTTGGGTATGGAGGCAAATGATAAATTCGGGGTTTTTGGTGCCGTATCCTAGCACATCAAATTGCAAAGGTGGAAGTCATTGTTGTTATCACAATGAGAATGAACATGATGTACAAGAATGTGTCGAATTTAGAGCCTTAATCCAACTAATGATGGACAGAAAAGAGCTGGAATTTTACGATGAAAGCAAGGACACTCCCGAAGCATAATGATTGAGAAATAGGGAGTAAATGCAGATGAAGGCCCTAACAAATTAGACACTCAACATTCTACAAAAAATGAGGCATCCTAATGAGGCTTTATTTCATTTTGTAGCATCCTGTTTGAACTTGTTTTTTTGAACTTTCTCATATTTCTTTTTGTAACTTGTTTTTTGAACTTTCTCATATTTTTATAAGGATATTTAAATGAATTTATGTTGAGCATTTAATCAAATTTACAACTTGAAATTCTTTGAATATCAACTGAGTTAAAAAACTTTGTAAATGATCGAAGTTATAGATCTTTAACAAAGTGACATGATTAAAATTGGTAAAATAATGACCCGTGATTTTACCCCAGAAGACACACTCGAACACTATATCCTTCTCTTGCAGGGACCGATATAGCCTTCTCCTTTCATAAGGGAGTGAACAAGAGGCTTGATATTCAAGTATGTATAGGAGCGGACAACATGGGGCATCTTTTGCTTATGATATTACAAAACTGACTAAACCATACTTTTGTTGATGACGTTCAATGATGATCATGATCTTTACAGATAGAATAGATGAGTAGGTGAATCTAGTTTAGGTC